GCATATCGCTCAGGAAGATAACGATCCTTTTCGCGTGTTGCTCCCCGTGCTCTCTGCCTATCACGGCTTGTGCTATCTCTCTCAAAATCCCACGTGCTTTCTCTCATGTGCTAGATGCTTGCCTTGTCTAGCTGTCCTGCACTACTCGCTCTCTCCCATGCTCCTCGTTTCCCTCCCCTCCCTTGTTGGTATCTTCGCATGCACCGGTGCTGCATGCTTGCCTGTTCGCACCGTGCTGCGCTATGTCCCCCTCCCGTGCTGCGCGTTTGCGCTCTCTCCCGTGCTGCACGCTTGCCCTTTCTCCAAGTTGTGCGATGATCGCTCTCTCCCATGCTCCTCGTTTCCCTCCTCTCCCTTGTTGGTATCAATGCATGCTCCCGTGCAGCATGCATGCATGTTCTCAACTGGCTGCGCTAATGATCTCTCCCCTGCGTGCGCGTTTGCGCTCTCTCCACTGCTGCTCGCGAGCTTTTTATCCCCTTGCTCCGCTTATCGCTCTCTTCCATGCTTCTCGTTTCCCTCCACCCCCTTGTTGCGCTGATCGCTCTATCCCGTGCTCGACGCTTGCCTATGCTACCTGTCCTGCGCTAATCGCACTCTCTCATGCTCCTCGTTTCCCTCCCCTCCCTAAATTGCGCTAATCGCTCTCCACATGCTGCACGCTTGCCTATTCTCCCTGTTTTGCGCTGACCGCTCTCTCCCATTCTCCTCGTTTCCCTCCTCTCCCTTGTTGCGCTGATCGCTCTATCATGTGCTAGACGCTTGCCTTTTCAACCTGTCCTGCGCTTATCGCTCTCTCGCTTACTGCATCCCCTCGCGATGCGGAATCGCCATGATTCTGCCCACATCGTCACTCAGCAACCAACTGCACTCTCCTACCGCTCACAATCTAACATTTCTCATCTGCACACCTCACCTATCACCCTTCCCATCCACTCAACATTTCTCACGTCGCGGCATTACCACAAATGCCTCTGCCTCGTCTCTTCTCCATCCGCTACCTTGCCTCTAATCCGCTTACGACGGTTCTTCTTTCGTACACCCTCCGTTGTTGCTGTTCATTCTCTCCCATGATGCTGTTGCGATCCCTCAGGTGTTTGCACAAATATCCCCTCACCTTGGATTTGGATATCTAGCGCGAAAGTATCATCCTCGTGTCTTGCTCCCCTGCGCGCCGCGGGATAGCACCGTCAGTCGACGTAGGGCAGCATTTTGGTGAGCTCCTTCTCTCCCGCATCTTGCCTCACCCTCGCGACGCGGGATCCCCGCCGCGCTCGGTTAACCACCTCTCCGCAAACCTCAGGAGATTCGCGTGCGCTATCTCCACTGCTGCGCTTGCGCTATCTCCACTGCGGCGCTTGCTCTATCTCCACTGCTGCGTTTGCGCTATCTCCCTTGCTGCATGTGATGGCCACTCTCTCCCGTGCTGCGCTTTCACTGACGCCCGTGCTGCAATTCCGCTCAAATCTATGCTGCATTTGAGTTCTCTCCCTTGATGCACGTAAGCTCTCTCTCATGTTGCATGTCAGCTCTCTCCCTTGCTGCATGTCAGCTCTCTCTCTTGCTGCATGTCAGCTCTAACCCTTACTGCGTTTGAGCTCCCTCCCTTGCTGATGTTAGCTCTCTCCCTTGCTGAATGTCAGCTCTCTCCGTTGCTGCAAGTAGTCTCTCCATCATACTGCATTTCAGTTCCAGCCCCTTGCTGCATGTCAGCTCTCTCCGCTGCTGCATGTCAGCTCTCTCTCTTGCTGCATGTCAGCTCTCACCCATGCTGCATTTTAGCTCCCTCCCTTGCGGATGTTTGATCTCTCCCTTGCTGCATGTCAGCTCTCTCTCTTGCTGCATGTCAGCTCACACCCTTGCTGCGTTTGAGCTCTCTCCCTTGCTGATGTTGGTTCTCGCCCTTGCTGCATGTCAGCTCTCTCCTTTGCTGCAAGTAGTCTCTCTATCATACTGCATTTCAGTTCCAGCCCCTTGCTTCCTGTCCGCTCTCTCTCTTGCTGCATGTCAGCTCTCTCCCTTGCTGCATGTCAGCTATCTCCTTTGCTGCAAGTAGTCTCTCTATCATACTGCATTTCAGTTCCAGCCCCTTGCTTCCTGTCCGCTCTCTCTCTTGCTGCATGTCAGCTCTCTCCCTTGCTGCATGTCAGCTATCTCCTTTGCTGCAAGTAGTCTCTCTATCATACTGCATTTCAGTTCCAGCCCCTTGCTTCCTGTCCGCTCTCTCCGCTGCTGCATGTCAGCTCTCTCTCTTGCTGCATGTCAGCTCTCTCTCTTGCTGCATGTCAGCTCTCTCTCTTGCTGCATGTCAGCTCTCTCTCTTGCTGCATGTCAGCTCTCACCCATGCTGCATTTGAGCTCCCTCCCTTGCTGATGTTAGCTCGCTACCTTTCTTTATGTCAGCTCTCCCACGGCTCGTTTCATTTATGCATGCAAACCATGTTCTCACCGTGCTGCGCTGATCGCTCTCTCCCGTTCTACACTCTCGTTGGCAATCCCACAATCTCTAGTGTTCAACATCCAGCTAATCCCATGCTCCCCCACTGTCCTTCCATTCACACACTTTGCAGACTTTCTGCACACAACGGCTTGCTGTACGGCTACATCCATGGACCCGGTCCCTTCCATTTATGTTCCGGCCGCCGGTGTTGGCCATCCGTTATTCTTGTATGTTGCGGATTATCCTGTCCGCAACCGGCGAGCAGCGAAGTGTAGGGCCCGTCCGGCGAACGGAGACGTTTGGCGGCAGGATCTTCTCAGGGAGGTGTGGCGGCATGATGTTTCCAGAGAACAGTGGCATCAGGACCTTTTCAGGGAGGTGTGGCGCCAAGGTGTTTTGAATCCGGACCCGTTGCACAATCGCGAACTGGGCATCTGGGACGATATGCTAGATGCTATGAAGAAACGGTTTGATTAGTATAGTTTTGAGTCTGTCACGCCTAATCTTGCGTGTAAAAACCTTTGCTACCGAATATTGAGTGCTGTGCGTCAATGGGATTGCGGTGTCCTATGTACACATCTCCCACTCTCAGCCACCCCTCATCTCCTCCTCTGCATCTGCATCCCTTATCACAACTGCTCCTTCCTCACCTCCCCTCCAACCTCCACTCCTTTACTTCCACCTCATATCCTTCAATGAACCTCATACCCTTCTCTGCACTCGCCTCTGCACCTCACATCCTCATGTGCACCTCGTAAAAATCTTTGCACCTCACATCCTCATGTGCACCTCACATCAATCTCTGCACCTCTTTCCCTTCACTGCACCTCATCTCATTCTCTGCCCTTCATTTCCAGGCTGCTCACTACCTATACCTTTACCTATACCTATACCTATACCTATACCTATCTCCTCACTACCTATACCTCCGCCTAAGCCGTAGATTGGCATGCGTACCCCGTGTTCGGGTGCAGCCTGAAACGAAATAGACGGGCTATACTGACAAAACAACTAATGAGCAACCAATTCTCCCATCCATGCGTAACGTTTTACGCCACTTCGCACTTCGCTTATGTTGGGACCAGTTAAGCACCTTGCTGCTTCAAACCCCATAATCGAGCATGTATTACCACAATGCCGTGCTCATATTTTTCCTGTTTCACCGCCCTTCATGACAGCGTGCTGTCAACTGACACCCCTTAATGCATACATAGCTGTGCGAGTGACCAATATATTGCTCGTTAACCATGTGAACTTTTTCAACAAGTATGGATTATAGGCAAGAATATGTTTGAGAATGTAGTTCCCACGGTGCACCATTCTCATACGTAGCCGATCTCGCCAAGGCGAAACTGCCACGCCAGACTTGGCTCACCTGGCAGCATTGTTGGGCGAGATTCTGTCCATTGTTCTGAGAAGGCATCGCATTCTGTGAACAGTTCAAGTAAAACGCCAATTGCCCGCAACAGTTCAAGCATCACCGCTCACGCCACCGTCAATTCCACCCTACAGACTTGGACAAACACTGAACAAGTTGCCTCAGATGTCGCGATTGTGAGTTGCGTGGCTTCCTGCTCGAAGATTTTGCGGCCAGCAGAAATCTGTTCAATCGACGATTTGCAACCTTTCCCCCCTTCTATCATGGCAAGCTTGCTCTGCCCGCTGCCTTGTTGCTAAGTGCTCAGTTCGTAAATGTAGGAACAATGGGTGAACGTGGGAGACTGACTAGTCGTTCCGGCATCGGAAAAAATGCTTCGATGTCGGGGCGTGCCCGACGATTACGTTCCCGCGGGAAAACGTTTTTCTCACCTCAACGAGTGTGGCCGTGTTTGGCTTGCTGGCATCGCTACTGTTGACATCACGACATCTGCTGTTGAAGATCCCAAATGACATCACTGTACAGCCAAGACGTTGGAAACCCCAGCAACGAAGCTCGAACGACCCTAGCTGAGAGGCGAGGCCGTCCCTCTCTCCAGCAAGCTAGCTTGCTCTCTTGCCAATCTGCCTTGCTCGGCACCTGCAGTGAGCCTACTTCGCCGTCAACACCGTTTTACCGTGAGCTACGATTTCCCGTGAGGTAGTTTCAGTCATGGGGGTCGGAGCTCAGGGCTAACAAAATCACTCGTTGACGCTAACCATCCGGCACGTGTATTCCCTACGAGGCGTCCGTCGCAATGGGTGATGGTGGCGAGTACGAGGACGAGGGCGAGGAAGGGTACGCAGAAGGAGGGCAAGGGTACGATGGGGAAGGCGCCGCGTACGTGGGGGGAGGAGGCGAAGAGGATCCTGGTGCAGGGAACATTAATCAGGAAGGAGAGGAGTTCGGACAAGAAATGGAAGGAGGGGAGGGGTTTGCGGAAGAGGAGGAAAATTGGCAAGTGGGAGGAGCGGGAGACGTTTACGCGATGGGAGCGGGTATGGAGAATGGCCCAGAAGGGGAACAAGGGTTTGCGGAGGACGGGGTGGCGGCATTTGCAGATGCGGGTGAAGGATACGATGGGGAAGATGGAAATGCGTTCGCAGGGGACGGGGCGCTGAATCAGGCAGAATTGGGGGAAGGCTACGCGGGAGAGGGGGGGGGAGGAGTTGCGGGAGAGGAGGAGGAAGGATATGCGGGAGAGGGGGGGGATGGAGTTGCGGGAGAGGAGGGGGAAGAATATGCGGGAGAGGGAGGGGATGGAGGTGCGGGAGAGCACGGGGAAGGATATGCGGGCGAGGGGGGGATGGAGTTGCGGGAGAGGAGGGTGAAGGATATGCGGGCGAGGGGGGGGATGGAGTTGCGGGAGTTGAGGGGGGAGGATATGCGGGAGAGGGAGGGGATGGAGTTGCGGGAGAGGAGGGTGAAGGATATGCGGGCGAGGGGGGGGATGGAGTTGCGGGAGAGGAGGGTGAAGGATATGCGGGCGAGGGGGGGGATGGAGTTGCGGGAGAGGAGGGTGAAGGATATGCGGGCGAGGAAGACCGATGCGATGAAGAGAACGGCGCTGCAGGCGACGCCGGAGAAGGTGGCGTACCTATTCAGCCGCACAGTCATGGAGCTGAAGATGATGACGACATCGAGCAGATCATGTACCCTGGAGCGCATGCAATGGCCACACAACAGAGCCAGGCGTCGACAATGGATGAGGATGTTGAGGCGCAGAGGGCGTTGGAGCGGGGTAAGGCGAAAGCAATGGAGATGCTGAATGCTCCTGTTGCCGCGGGACGTGGAAGCATGCTGCAGAACGCCAAACGTGCTGCGAGGAAACGTGGCCGCGAAGAAGAAATACCAGAGCAACCCCGGCAAGCGCGTGGAGTGGGGCGAGGCAGAGGGCGAGGTGGGGGCCACGGAGATGAGCGCGGAGGTGAGCGCGTGAAAGGACGGGGCGGTGGTCGGGGCGGATGGCGAGGCGGTGGGCTGGGCGGAGGCTTGGGCGATGGGATAGGCGAAGGGATAGGCGAAGGAGGCGAGGTGAGGGGAGGAGGACGAGGGAGAGGGAGAGGCCGAGGCAGAGGCGGAGAGAGAGGAGGAGGGAGGGCCGGAGGTCGGGGAGGAGGGCGTGGCGATGGGACGGGTGGCGGAGCTGCTGGCACGGGACGGGGGAGAGGAAAGGGAGCAGCAGGTAGGCAAAGGTTGGCCTGAGTGGCCATCTCCTTGATGCTTGGTATGGTAAGAGAGTCAATGGTAGCTATGGTCCGGTCACGCACATGAACGTAGCGTTGCCCCATGAGCTTGCCGGTGCACTATCTACGCGAGCACACACGCTCTCACATTCTTCGTTCGCCCCATCCCCATTCTCCATGCGCATGTAGCAAAATGACCCGTTTCCGTGTTGCATACGTTCGTGGCATGGCAGTTAACATCGTGAATACGGGCGTTGGCCCGCCCATGGAAATTTGTCATGTTCAATTGGGGCAGTCTGCACCTGGACAGCAGTTTTTGGGTAATTTTCAGCAACAGCACATCCCACGTGCTGCGGCAGTGGTCCCAGCACATCAGCCGGTGCTGGGAACGGGAGGACCTCGGCCAGTAGCTGCAGCAGCCCCACTGAACATGGGGTTGGCACACTCCAATCGTTCAGGGACTGCTGCTGGTCCACCGCGAATCAACCTGTCAGGAGGGCGAGTCGGCAGTGCCTACGCGTCTCAAGGCACAGGCAATGCCCACCCGGCCACTTCAGCCCCTGCACCTGCACGTCCGGGAATGAGCAACGGAGGGGGAGGTAGGGCAACGATGTCAGGCTTACCACGGGCTCACATGCTCAGTGCAGGTGCTGCAAGCCAAGGCGGTGTTGCGTCGTACAGAGTGGGATTAGGAGGAGCAGGGCAACCTGCACCATCTACTTCGGCAGGACATGGAAGCCGTATGATCCCAGGTCTGGCCCACGTAGGCTCACCCAACTCCCCGGTCTCAGTCGGGCGTGCACGGGGCAGCCCAAGGGTTAACAGTGCAGGGGGGAGCGCTGGGCAGCCCAATCGTACGCAGAGAGGATGGGGTCCAACCGCATCAGCTGGTGGTGGTCGTGCTGGGGGACACCATGGAGGGTCCAACATGGGTGGTAGATCCCAACCCAATGCCAGCGGAGGTGGTATGAATGGTGTCGCACGGGGTGCAGCACCTCTGCCATCAAATGGGAGTCAGGGTCGCGCACCATCGGCTGGCCGATCATCTGGTTCTCGTGGACCCGATGCAGCAGCATCAACTGGTTCACAGAGGCCGGTTGCTGTGTCAAGGCCTGGAATCGGTGCTGGGCAGCCCAGGCCGCGTGCTGTCGCGTCTGTAGCTGAAAAAGTTGCACAGAATATATATGCAACCTTGGCTGATCTGCAAGCACTGCGGGATGAGCTGCTAGGACGGCCCTGCAGGTGGTGTGGCGGATGTGACAAGCATGATCCCAACGGGGAGGGTGGCGGAACTCAGGATGGTGGGTCTAAACCAGTGAAGGCGCCGGTGCGTGAGAAGTCCCCGGAGGAAATTGCCCGCGACTTCATCAACGCAGAAACCGGCGGCTGGCAGGTGAGCCATGCGGAATGCGCTTCTTTTCTAAACCCAAGAGCACTCGTAACTCTAACTTTGCGGCTTTTTTGTTCGGCATGGACGTTGCGATTCCTAAACCTCCTCACCACGTTTACATACTGGCGCATCACCTTGTTTCCATGGCAGAAATTTTGCAGCAAGCTGGCGACGTATTACTTCTGGACAAACCGCGCACACGGCATCCAGTTTTACCCCAACGACAACGAAACCCTGATTGGCCTTAAAAACATGATGTCCCCTGCAGCTGCTCCACACCTGACGATTTTGTGGACTTTCCGATGCAAGCAAACCCTGAGATCGGTCTCCGTCGCTTACACGAACACTCGATGCCTCATCGCCAAAAGGTTTCGCAAGAAGGTGCTAACAGCACAGGGCATCAAGAGGAAAAACGACCAGGGGGGTGTCGAGGACCCCAAGGAGCTGGACGACGCCGAGCTGTTGATCGGCTATGGGGACGGTGAGTAAGCAGCCATGATTAGGATCTCTGTGTTTCCCCTCATCTCCGTCTCGCCCCTGCCTTGCTTTCTGGCAGGCAGAGCCACAGCACGGCAGCCTGCAGTCACCACCGCTCTCTCCTCTCCCCCCATCTGACCCTCTCTCCCCTGCGTGTCCCTCTGTCAGGCAGAGCCACAGCAAGGCAGCCTGCAGTCACCACCGCTATCACCTCTCCCCCCATCTGACCCTCTCTCCCCTGCGTGTCCCTCTGTCAGGCAGAGCCACAGCAAGGCAGCCCGCAGTCACCACCGCTATCACCTCTCCCCCCATCTGACCCTCTCTCCCCTGCGTGTCCCTCTGTCAGGCATATCCACAGCAAGGCAGCCTGCAGTCACCACCGCTATCACCTCTCCCCCCATCTGACCCTCTCTCCCCTGCGTGTCCCTCTGCCAGGCAGTGCAACGGCAAGGCAGCCTACAGTCACCACCGCTCTCACCTCTCCCCCCATCTGACCCTCTCTCCCCTGCGTGTCCCTCTGTCAGGCAGAGCCACAGCAAGGCAGCCCGCAGTCACCACCGCTATCACCTCTCCCCCATCTGACCCTCTCTCCCCTGCGTGTCCCTCTGTCAGGCATATCCACAGCAAGGCAGCCTGCAGTCACCACCGCTATCACCTCTCCCCCCATCTGACCCTCTCTCCCCTGCGTGTCCCTCTGCCAGGCAGTGCAACGGCAAGGCAGCCTGCAGTCACCACCGCTATCACCTCTCCCCCCATCTGACCCTCTCTCCCCTGCGTGTCCCTCTGTCAGGCAGAGCCACAGCAAGGCAGCCTGCAGTCACCACCGCTCTCACCTCTCCCCCCATCTGACCCTCTCTCCCCTGCGTGTCCCTCTGGCAGGCAGAGCCACAGCACGGCAGCCTGCAGTCACCACCGCTCTCACCTCTCCCCCCATCTGACACTTTCCTGAACTCCCTTTACCCACTTTACAGCCGTGTCGGGACCGGGCTGGCACGTGGACGACGACACGAAGTGGCCCTTTTCGAGCGAAATCTTTGTTGAGGGAATTTTTGCTGCATTCGTGAGATCGGGCATGGCACTGGGGGTATGGAAGACCCGCCAAATTGCCTTTGCATTGTTCGCTGTAAGTACACGCCCCTTGATTCTGATCATGATTTTTCTAATTCGATCCTGTCGAGAATCTAATTGCCATTATCGATCATTGCAGTTGGAATATCCGATCTTGGAGAAGACCGCCGATGGGAAGTTGAGCAGCAAGCCTGACTACAACAGGCCATTGTACGAGGAGAAAGTCGAGTGGTGCCGGAAGTCGGTGGAGCACGCCGTCACCAACCTTGGGGTGAGCTATGATGCTGAGAGGGACGTGTTTGTTTTTGGCAACGGCATCCTCATCGATGCGAGTGACTACGAAGCTGGATTCAAGAAGACGACTGCTGTGCAGCAGTAGCACTGCATGTTTCCTGGATTTGTTGCTTTTATTGACTGAATAATTAATGTTTGTAGACACCTTTTTCTTTAGGTGAAGCAAAAAAACGAATCAGTATTATGCGAAATCGTTCTGTTTTAGCTACGTATTAATAATTATTGGTATATAATTCGTAGGAAATAAAACTGTATGTGGCAACGTTTACATTTATCCATGTTGTGACAGTACAGTACAATATTTTTATCGTATTTATTGCTAGGTAATCTGGTTTCGACCAATGCGCGATTGTGATGGAAATCCGCCGGAAAACATAACGGCTTTCCATCGGAAATCATCCAGTCTCTTCGGGATGGAAAACCAATGGAAAATATAGTGACGATGCCACTGCGCCACTCGGTGGAATTCCGTCGGAACAAGTTGAACGTGTTCCGACGGATTTCCATTGGTTGGGCAGGAAACCCCACCAAAACCGCCTGTTTTCAGGCCGTGTTTTTTGTGATGCTTGCCATTGAATTTGCGAGGTTCTCTGACCAAGCGAGGAAGCCGATGGTGCACCAACACCAGTGAAGCTCATGCGAAAATGAGGTTGGATCAAGCGGGTCGCATGCGTGTGTTAGACTTCGCGATTCGGGTGAGCGTACAACCACCGAAGTCGCTCTGGTCAACCCTGGGTTTTTCCACCACAAACCCCCACCCACCACTTTGGCATGGAAACTTCCAGCAACCTCCAATGATCGTGACGTGACAGCCACGGAGGGTGGAAGTTGAGGCGCAGGTCAACGCAGGGTCAACGACTGTTGAGTGTAAAACAGTCGAAGCTCTCTCCATGCTACCAACACAGACCAATTCGATAACGTATTCCCCTCTCCCACATCATACTTCAACGATCAAATTATCTTCGTGTCGAAGCCCTATCTTGTACGCACCAACCCTATCTTGTGTCGGCGACCCACACGTCTTGCGAATAGCCTCTTCAAGACCAGGGCTGTCGATTCAAGGGCATATGGCCTTAATGCCCTGAACATTAAGGTCTGACTTTGCCCCAAAGTCCAGATTCTCAGGGTTGATTTTTTGTACAGCCCGGAATGATAACGGGCGTGGGCTGGGCCTTCCCCTGATTCTTACAGGGGCCTCTTGGAGGGTTTCCCTGATTCCCCGCGGAAGTTTCCGGTCTTACCCGGAAAATTTCACAGCCCTTCCTACCCCCCCCCCCCCCCCCCCCCCCCCCCCCCCCCCCCATCCTCTCCCTTCCCGTTTTTCCCTTTTCCATCCCATCCCATCCCATCCTATCCCATCCTACCGTGAAAATGCTAGATTACGACGTGGACTGGGCAGGTGTGTAACAGATCTTCGACGGGGAGAAGCGCCGCAAGCCTGCCACTTAGTTATTAGTGTTGAGAAAGTAGATAGGTAATAGCAGCTCTAAATTAACTCTGCCTTGATTAGTTTTCGTTATACACCTAGCCCTCGCCAATTTCACGCCCTGCAACTTGTTTCGGAAAGCACCCTGAACCCGATGTTGGCTTGACCGATGAACTCCCCGAATTTGAAGGCTATCAACAACTCAGACAAGTGTCGAGGTATTAATAAAACTCCCGCGCTTATGGAGCGAATCGACCATAGTTTAATTGCGACCCGTTTTTTGTCCCCTCTAACTCGTCTGAGACGTCTGAAATGGACTCTCTTTGAAATGAAAGCATTGAGAACAACCCTTCAATATCGGGTAATTTAAACATAATTACACAGGGGGTGAAATTGGCCATAGTGAAGTTGGCGCGGGCTAGGTGTGTAGAGTTTGCCCTGATTGTTGTA